GGGTCTTAATCCCCCTGTATTTAATAACAGCTTCCCTTGATTGCTAGTCTCAGCCCCCCTGCCCCCAGTCTGGACTGTTGATCCCCGCCCAGGTCACCACCCACCCTCTAATTGGTACTCAATAAACTGTAGTGACGTGAACGATTGTCACTCAGCAAGTGGGACAGCTGAAGGTTTGCTATGCTGCTCAAGTGGACAGTTATGAAAGGGAGGGAGCTGCACCCCTCCTGCTGGACTGCAGCATCCCCCACCCTGAGGGGTTTATGATGGTGCCCTTGGACATTGGGACTCTCGTCCACCCTGCGCCTTTGGACTTTTAAATTCTGCATTGTAGCAGGAACGGTTGAGCTGTTGGGAAAGCTCCATCTCGGTCTCCGTTCTTAAAACTAGTGATACGGTTGGGGAAAAGGCATGTGCTTCAGGAAAAAGTGGTTAAGGGGCTCTTCTGGAGTCTTGATATTCAGCGGGAGGGCTAGAGGAAGCCAGAAGGCCCCTTTTGGCAAGTTTGGGAGGTAAATGGGGAAGAAGTGGTGGGTGGAAGTTGACTGCTACAAACTGAGATGGAGTCTGGCTTAAAGTAGATTTGGGGATGAAGATGTGTGGATTTGGCTGTCAATGCAAAAGTGCTCTCGATATTTTTTGAGCAACGGGCAGACTACCTTCTCCCCTAATTGCAGCCAGCTTCAGTTTCCTGCCTATGTTCGTTGGGCTAGAAAGAAAAATAGCAAAGTTGTTTCCTAATTGCACAGACTTCTGTGGAAGTATTCTTGATTCTGCCCATATCGGTTGGCAGAGACTGTGTGGTACCAATGCTATAGGGGGCAAAAAGGACACCCTAAAATTGAGCTCAAGGTGAATTTGAGCTTGGTTCCTGATGACTTCACAGAAACTTCCATGTTGTTTTCTTGGCAATAGCATGGAAGTATTTTGCCACTGCATTCTATGGGATGTATTTTCAACTTCCTACAGCCTTGGGATTTCCTAGCAGTCTCCCATTCAGGTATTAACCAGGCTAAAATCTGCACAGCTTCCAAGCCTAGAGAAGGTCAGCCAGATGCTGCCACCAGCTGACCCACCAGTTGCTATGCAAACACACAAATTATTATAGTAATTACTGTTTTTCTCTTTCCCTGCATCATGTTTTTAGCTTTTTTAGTTTTTTCTCCCTTGAATAGGGTGTTTTAAACACCTATGGCATGTTTTCTCTTTCCCCTCTGCCATCAGTAACAGAAAAAGAAACTTAGCTTAAGAGAACTTTATGGCAGTCAACAGAGGTGCACATTAGCAGATTTCCCTTGTTCTGTCTTCCATCCCTTTCAGCTAGGAAGGTAAAGGGGAAATGCTATGAATGACTTGTAAAAAAAAGCTAGACCTCCATCTCTTCCCAACACTAACAAGCAAGAATATAAAGATACTACACCTTTGACTTCAGCTGTTTCTCTCCAAAGTCAGTCCTCCATCTGTCAGCTTTCAGATACATCCTATTACAATTCCTGCCACCATAGCTGGCAACTTTGGATGTTGGGAGTTGAAAGCTAAGACCTCTGAAGGGCACCAAGTCAAGGAAGCCTACTGTACTTATATGTCAGTTAATACATTGGCAGAGACCTAATCCTTTGGCCTGTTCTCACACCCGTTATCAGAGGAACACATCCTTTGTGGAAAGTCTGTCCTCCGGGATGGATAGAGATGAGCTGGCCCTCAGAATGGACAGAACAGGAGTAAAGTCTCCTTTGAGTTTTATATTTTGGCAACAACGTGAAAGTGATTTACTTTGGGGAGAGTTGACTCCCCAGTCTAGTCTATAGTTTTGGACTGTTCTGAAGCTCTCACATCCAAGTGCTAAGCAGGTCCAACCTACTTAGTGTTTTTTTTTTGAGAGCCACCATGTTGGCAAAGGGCTTCCACCAGCCAAAACTAAGAGTCACAGCCCAAGTGTAGTTGATTTGTTTGGGTGTAGGCAACACCTTGCTCAGTTCAGGCATTCCAGTCAAAACTGGATGGATAGCTGGGCAGCTTTTGAGCTCATCCAGCCAAGGGGAATCCACCATCTCCCTCACTGGTTCCATTATCAAAGGACCCTTCCAGCTGGGAAGTTTTCTCAAACATGTAACCAGAGTTTGTCTTCTTGTGTCTTAAGTCCATTCAAGCTACCGAGGTCTTGACCTTCAGTGGTACTTCAGGAGTGCCATCATAGTTCCCCTTGTTTTTTTCTCAAGGCTTAATACACCCAACTCCTTCAGTCTCTTCTCATAGGACTACGGTCCGGGTCAGCCCTATGAGCAGACCCAATCAAGAAACAGGAAGACTGGAACTATACTTTATTGATAGGCTACAGTAACAGAATCTTGCAAGTCTGCCCATGTTTTCCCTCCCAACCCTCTTATACCAGAGGGGAGCCAGTCTGAGTCTTGTTCTTATGCTTTCCCAACTACCTGGGCTTAATGCATGCTTCAGCACCTGTTGTTGTTCTAACGGCTTTTCTGTGTCTTCTCCAAGGTCATCTCCATGGCTCCCTACAGTTCCTGACCCCTAATTATCCTTTCCCCCGTTTTTTGAACTCATTCCAGTTTGTCTCTGTTCTTAAAATGTGGTGTCCAGAACCAGACTGAACAGCAATACATGATCATTATTATCGTCATCACTATCATCTGCAAGCTGAGATGCCTGATCCCAACTTTTCCAAAAAGTATTGGGATCTTAGATCTTGGCTTTGGGAGCAGCAAAGCTTAAAAAAAAATAGTTGAGTCATTCTGTTTTGCTTGGTTAGGTGTGAATGGATATAACAGTTCATAGGCATTGAAAAGGAGGCAGATGAAGAACGTGCATTGTAATGTGACACAAACTCTGCCCCTCAGTATTTGCCTGCAGTGTCATGACACCAGTAGGAAAGGGCAGAATTTCCATTGTGGTGTCCCTACATATTTTGATATTGTAATTAGGCATGGATGCCTGTATTACCATTCACTAAAATAATCAGCATAGGTCCTGGGCTGGATTTGAAGTTTGAGAGACATGCTGGAAGAGGACACATATAAAAGTGGGCATAAAAACTATCTCACTTTATCTCTGATTCAAATGAATTGAAGATAGGTTGATTTTTCCATGTGCCTGATGGAACCAGCTACCATCTCCTATCACATTAACAAAATTCAGGGGCAGCTTTTACAGGGGCTTTTAGTGAAGTTGTAGATTGTGCACTCCCTGCTTTAGATCTTTTCACTGCTAGTTCTGGATTCTTCCATTAACTCTTTCAAATGCCGTTCTTCATCATCTGCTTCATTATAGCCCACCAGCCCTTGTTTCCTGTTCCTCTTCCAAATTGTGCCGCATGGGCTAGTGCTATATGCTATAAAAGTAGGAGGCACTCTTTAAGCTTGTCTCATCAACACAAGAGCAGCTCTGGCCATGGAGATCCAAGTGCAAGAGAGACAGATTTAGAATGGGTTACCTCTCTGAGCCCATTACTGTTTCAGGAACATTCACTCTTCCCACAAGCCTACGTTGTCAGCAGCTGAACTTAGGTAGGGACAAAGACACAATCTACGTGTCACAGTTATTTATCAGTTGATCCCAATCTTTCTATCCAGCTCTCCTTGGAAGCAGCTATAGTCCCACCTTCCCAGCATAATTGGAACACGATGCTGACTCTCTCTCCCACCCACCACCGTCATTATAAAAACTTTAAGGATTCCTACAGTTGGGAATTGGGGAACTCATGTCAGAGCTGTGTCCGTTACCACGTTGAGGAGAAACAAGTACATTCCGTGATAGCAATGCAAAAGGCAGAATCTATTTTTTTCAACAGTTTATATGAAAATGGGCTCTTCTCATTCTAATCCTCCCCCAGAACTTTAGCAAGGGGAGGGCTCTTCTGATCATGTTCCCATTTCTACCTAGTCATTCTGTATTTTCCAAAACCATGTTTACACCCAACACTTCCATACCTCCAGGATGTGTGTGATCTTTTAATAGCAAATTAATTATATGTAAAGTAAGGGTTTGGATTGTATATTCCCACTTGGTACAAAACTTCCTCCTCAATTTAACCTGGATCTATGGATGGGGGATAAATTTCCTCAGCTGGTATCTTAATAACTTATCAAGTTGATAGGCAGCAGAGAAAACAAATCTTTTGCCGGGAGGGTATTTCTGCATCTCAGAATTTTATAATGTAGCTTTCCAAAAATTGCAAGGAAAAGCAAATATAAAAATGTATGTAAGGAAAAATGGTATGTAAAAAATTAGGCAAAATTGTATATCAAAATGTAATTGTTTTAAAATTACAAGTGATGCAGAAACAGAACCAAATTAATTTGTGGCTGAAAAAAAATGAATCAAATTCATATTCATCCATTCTTACATAACTTAACACTTTTGAAGTGTTGGGGTTTCACAGCTTTTGTGTGATTGTAAAAAGTATATTGGGGAGAAGAGAGATGATTGATTCTTCTCCTTTTTTCTGGGTTTGGGGTCAGCTTCTGCTCAAACTTAAAGAATGGGGAAGAAGGCAAATTTGCTGCCCCAGTCCAGATCCAAAGGATTACAGCATCAGCTTGGGCTTTTTTTCATTGTTATTCTGTGTAAATAAAATACCATTTTTGGAGGAAGTCATTGAATTTTTAAGGTTTCCAATGAGAAAACTTGCATCAATAAATGTAATTTGGATTTTTTTAAGAAAAAGTCTACAAGTGGTTTGTTGTTTCCCATTCAGCAAGCAGAACAATCTGTTATCTTCCCCCAGGGGACCAACTCTTATACTGCTAGATAAAACCCAAAATTCAACTAAGCCAACATCTGGTGGCCAGACACCAGCAGGAAGCCTCCAGGCAAGGAGATCACTTTTTTCTTATTTGAATCCTAGCAACTCATTTTCAGTTTGAGCATAAGGGCACTGTAGATCAGAGCAGGAATAAATTGAATACAACCTCTGTCTGCTATAGGAAAGAGCCAGTCAGATCCCCATGGATATTCAAGAAACTCCTTCCCTCCTGTGCTAATCACCAAAGGCACACCGTTTCTTAATACTGAAGCTGTATTTAGCCATCCAAAGATCAGTTTGGTTCAATCAACAGATGCAGATTTAAAAAAAAAAATTATGTGCCATCAAGTGGGTGTCAACTCCTAGGAACCACATAGATCAGCCTTCACCGGATGGTTTTTTTCTAGTTGTCATTTACAGGATGTATCATATGGGTTTTCTATAGGGTGTGCAAACCATGGAGGTCTGTGTACAGGTAATCCCAAGGTTAAGAACACCCGGTTTAAGGATGACCCATAGTTAAGAACGGAGCCTACTATACCAAAATTTGAGTTAAATACACAATGATTTGAGTTAAATACACAATGGTTCAAGTCCATTACACAATATGACTTATACAGTATTATACAATAATACTGTTCTCGCTCACATATAAATGCGACTTAAGGACAGACCTTGAGAATGGAATTCGTTCTTAAACTGGGGACTGCCTGTACCAGAAAGGGTTAAGGAGGTAGCCTTAACAAACAATGGATGGTTGGAGGTTGGTATCACAAAGGAACCAGGCCCTCTCATCTTTATTCTTTCAATGTGTTTATTCTGATGTCACCATATAAAAAAGGATAGCCAAATCAGTCTAAATTTCTGAGCTAGATGAAAGAGATTCAAGAGATGACTATAGTTACATCTTATTATTTCAAACATTCAAGCATTCAAATTAAATTTAATTCATAACAGATAAGGACACAGAAAAAGAAGGTACACTGCCTGTCCCCAAAATACAGCTTTTCCACTACTACTACATAAAAATCTAAGTAACCAAATACAAAAAAGGTGGTGGCAGTGGTCAACAAGGCAGACAGTCCAAGTTGTAAGTCTGGTCTGGTTACCATGCAATGTTGGCTAGCAGTGGGGCATGCTATGGGCTTCTAATTTTGCAGGTCAATTAAGTGGCTGTGAACATTGGGGTCTGGGTGGCCATTGCTTTCAGTGGGACCCACAAAGCCATTCATGTGGGGGGCTGCCTTTTTAGGAGTGGCTGGCCAGGCTGGAGGCAGAGTTGAAGGGCCACGCTTTGCACAGCCCCACGGTCTCTGGGTCTTATGTTCCAGCTGCATGTGGTTTTGAGGCGGGAGCCCCACACAGGCCCTGTGGAAGGCAGGAAAAGACCCAGGTTAGCATACCTTACTTGCAAACAGTCACCTCCCCCCCCCCAAAAAAGTTTTAAATCTCCAATCAAAAGGAGATGGCGGCTTATAACATGCAGGAAAAAAGGGGCTTTCTTCTGCTTGTAAGACTCAAGGGGAACCATGAATTAAACCTGTTGGCTGGGAGATCTATGACAGAGAAGTAGCACAAGCTTTAAGGAACATTGCCATAAAACACAGAGTGCCTTCTGGCTTTTCAGAAAGAGTTGGGTACGTTCACAGAAGTGGGTGTAACAGCAGCTAGTAACCATGAGAGTGAGACAAAATCTTTGTGTGGAGGGAGCCTACCTCCAAGTATCAGGTCCTCAGGGAAAACAGGAGGGTTGTTGTCTGTCCAGCTAGAAATACGTGGGAAGTGGAGTGCTACATTTTAAGGTAAAGTTAATGGATTTAGGAGATGGTAGAGGGCCTGAAAAGGGAGAAACCAGAGACCCGCAAGGAAGACGTGCACAGGGTTACCATGGTGATTCAAACCCAGTTCTCAGCAGGCCCAGTCAGAAGAGATGCCGGAGTTGCTATGGTTACCTTCACAACTCATCCTGGCAAGGAGGTTAAAAGATGCAGGGTAGAAAGGAAAATGCTCATGTGGTAGCAAAGGGCAGCTGGGACTGCATCCATGTAACCAGAGCCCTGGTGCATCTTTCACAATCTTGAGGGTTTGTTTAAGCCTCAAAAACTAGCCTAAAAATATGCCAGATTATGAAACCATGTACACAACTCAAGTGAAGTAGCACACGCAGCAAGTGCAGATTTCCACTGTGACACAAATGCATGATATAACTGGTTGCTGCCAAGTTATGGGATGGTTATCCAAGTGGATTGCAGTTACCTGAACAGGTTCTCAATGGCAGCCCGTTGGCGGAAGAGGGCGTTGACCACTGGAGCACCTTCAGGGACAAGGGGAGCCTTGCAGAGGAAGCTCAAAAGGGACAAGACGCTGTGAAGGGGCTCCGGCTTGACATCTCCTATGCCCACTTGGATCCGTTGGCAGAGCTCAGCCAGGATGACCAAGTCCAAGATTATGGGAGCGGCCAGTAATGAATCCTGCAGAAGGAATCAGGAACACAACTTTGAAAGTTGACCCAACATGATCGTTCTTTCATCCTCAGGTGCAGGAATATGCACCAACTTCCTAAATTCAGAATTGGCAATTATTCCCTGCCTGTGGGCTAAGCAAGAAATGGGACACTTCCTTCCACCCTCCCACTATTCAATTCTTAAATGGGGATGCTGGAGAAAAAGATCCATAATTTCCTCTACAATGTAGGATTTCCAGAACATCTGCATCACATGGAACCCAACAGCTTTTCACCCACCTCACACATATTATGAATGACGATGGTGTTGGTCCCCCCCAAAGCGATCTCCGATGTGTATTCATCTAATGCTCGCTTGCTGTCACCAGTGTAGGGCACATACTTGATCACCACCTGTCCAGGGAGTGTGCAGTGGTGTCTATGAGCAAGCAACAAGTAAATAATCCCTTGCAGCCAGAAACGATGAGCACCCCCCATATGCACACACACACCACCCAGAGGTTGGCACACTATTGTGCCCCAAACCACACCACTGTCTCCCACTCACGCAGTGATCCGGCTGTTCCCCTGGCCCGTACAGGACAGGGTTTGATTGCACCATGTCATCCACCACGCTGCTCTTGGAAATTTCCTTGGCACGGAACTGAGCTGGTGCAGACAGGTTCCTCCCATCATTATTGCCCAAGTGGTTGTAGCTAACAATAGAGACTGGCTGTAAGAAAGGAAAGATAGCAGTTGTTGAAAACTCAAGGTTATTAGTCCTTTTTATGAGCTTCTGGGAAAAGCAGAGAGAAAAGAGTGTCTGCTACTTCAATCATAAACATGCAGCAAAGCCATGACTCTACTTACTGCCATGCCAACTCAGCTCAGTTTGGAAGATTAGAGTGGCGCTTGCGTTTCCCTTGAGGTCAAGTTACAGAGCCACCTTACCTTTGCACATAGCTTTTAATGAAGGGGGTAGCAGAGACCAGAGATCTCCCCTGGTCATTTGCAGATTTTTTCATTAATCTCTCTCCAGCTCTTCTGCTATTCCTGAATTTCATTTACTAAAAGTCAGAGATTCCCATTTCAGACCCAGCACCAGTTTCTAAGCCAACCCGCCTTGAACCAATCCTTTCCAGATCAGTTGGCCTATCACACCCATCATCCCCAAATTCAGCCAAAGGGCAATATGACTGCAAGGGGATGGGAATGATAATTCCATGCATTGGGGGGACACCAGGATGGAAAAAAATTGCCCATAGTCAACCAGAGATTCATAAGCCACCATACTTTGGATTTGTTCTATCTGAAATTGGCATAAATTTAACAACCTTTTGGGGGTCCTGAAGTTCACACACCATTTGAACTACAAAATATTGCAGCAGCAAGGATTAATGGTGCTTGGGATTGTGCAGAACACATTGCTCTAACATTCATTGAGTTTCCCATTTTTTACCCTGGTCCGGTGAACAGAATTCTTGCTGGGTTTGTGATATGAAAATGTGTAAAATGGGTCCAGCAGAGATCATACTAAAGTTACAGCAAGGGTGGGAAAATCTATGCCACCTCCATCTGTTTGTAAACTACTGTTCCCAACATCCTTCACCATAAACCATGCTGGCTGGGGTTGCTGGGAGCTGAAATTCCTCCACCTAGAGCAGTGTTTCCCAACCGTGGCCACTTGAAGATGTGTGGACTTCAACTCCCAGAATTCCCCAGCCAGCATGGCTGGCTCGGGGA